CCACAATCTGTGTGAAAATTAGGCTTCTTCAAAGGGTTTCTCTTTAGGTATTCTTAGAACTCTCTTTCTGAAGCTTGACAATTCTTTCTCATTAGCTTCCCTTTTATAAGGCTTGGGAATCTTCTCTTTCCTTTTTCTGAGAAATCTTCCATGATTTTCCTTTTCTATCTCCATGGGATTAAAGATGTCTGTGGGTCTCTTCATGATGGCGGTGGGAAGGATACTGGGAGTTTTAGACTGCTCCCGGAGTGCATTAAGTCGTGCAACGTCTATCTTTGGAAGTTGCACTTGACGTTGGGGTACTGTATATCGGGCGACAACTGGAGTATGTCGGTCGATATCTCTAGCTTCGTATCGATCGACATGTGAGTCTGTCTGTCGATCGATAGGTGTAGTGTTGATTCTGAAAGGTACGGGCGGATGTGGGTGTCGTGCTCCGAAGGCTTCATGTGACATAATCTTGACGGCACTGCACTCTTAAGGGGTTTCCTCGAAATCCATCGATTGATACGAGTCAAAGTCTATCGATCTCTTCACGAGGGGTGATATCGATCGATTCTGGTTAAACGGTGTCGATCAATACGTGTCAAATCCGATGTCTGTTTCCCTCTCATCGTCAGAATATTGCAGCTTCTCATGCTTCACCTCTTCCAAAAAGTCATCATCCAGGATGGCATGCACATGGTGGTCAGTAGCAAACTCTCCCATTCCTTTTGCTAAAACTTCTTGCTTCTTTAGTGCTTCTTCTGTCTGAACCACCTGAGTCTCTAACTTCTTCACATAGGTGCTTAAAGCATCAAGCTTTGTGTTGAGGTTGGTGTAGACAGAGTCGATCTTTCCATTGAAGTCCATCTGAAGTTTCTGCTGACTCTCAAGAACCTTGTCTAGCATCTCTTCTAGTTTACTGTCTTGGGTGGGTGGGGGGTGGATTTGAGTAGAATGAGTTTCCATAACTCCTGTTGTTGTTGAGGTTGCTGTTGCTGTAGTTGGTAGGCTTCTGTGAACTCTGGTTGAAGTTGATTTTCTGTCCTGCGAAGTTTATGTATCCTCCTTGGTTACCAGGCCTCTAAAATCCAGCTCCACTGATCCAGTTCACATCTTTTTCTGTGTATTCCCCTTCAGCTACAGTTTATGCATCCTCTACTGAGCAAATCTGTTTGTTTAGTAACTTCTGAACATTATCCAGTTGTGCTTGCACTTCATTAATCTGTTCCTTCCCAAGGAATGATGTAGCTTTTGTCTTCACAGTGTTCTTTGTGCTGTTGCTTGAAGCTAGGTTATCAATTAACTTCACGGCTTCTTGCGGATTCCTGGTGGTGAAATTGCCTTCACTAGCTGTGTCTAGAGCCATCTGATACTTCAAAATGATGCCTCTGTAGAAAGTGCAGAGCAGGTGCACGTTGTTGAATATGTGGTGTGGACAATCTCGCTGGTAGGATTTGAATATATTCCATGTATCTTTAAATGATTCTCCAGGATCCTGAGTGAATGTAGCAATTTTTCTTCTTCATTCTTCAGCGCGTGAGTCATCAAAGAAATTACGCAGGAATGCGTTTTTGATGTCGCTCCAGGTTGTGAGAGAACCTGGTGGTAGTTGTCTCAGCCACTGCAAAGCTTCTCCAGATAGAGAGTATTTGAAAAGCTTGCAGAGAAGATAGTCTTGAGGGACTCCATTGGCTTTTATGACAGTTATGAGATCCTCGAACCTCTCAAGATGGTCCATAAGGTGCTCATGGGACAACCCCAAGGGTATTTGTCCTACAAGTGTGTAGTACTGCGGCTTGAGCTCGAAATCTCCTCTCTGAATAGCAGGAGGGCGGATGGCTGATCGGTTGGTATAGAACTGATCTGGACGGTTGTAGTCAGCCAAAGTTCTAACTCTGTTAGCCTCCTCTACAGGTTGAATGAGGTCTGTAGGTGCAGTTTCTTGCTCAGGAATGATCTCTTTCTTAGCATTCAACTTCTGACCTGCTGCATTACGCATGTGACCATCTTGATCACGCAGGTCTCCATTCTCATCAGTAGTGAGAATAATAGTCGCTACCATATCTCGCCGGTAAGTATTGATCGATGTCGGATGAAAGATTTCGGTCGACGAACGGTTGTTGATATCGATCGATGGAAAGGTGCGAGTATCGGTCGACGAAGAAGGTGTCTCGGTCGACGAACGGTTGTTGATGTCGATCGATGCGGAACGTAAGTCTCTGCGGATGCTACGTTCCAAACTGTGGGGGTCTTCTGAGTACACAAGTTGGTTGTTCTTGTTGTTTCTAGTATTGCTGGGCATGTACCTGAAAAAGACAAGAAAAAAAAATTTGTGTTAGAAGATGATTAAGCAGTAACAAGTAACCTAGACCTAATCATATTAAATCTAATGGCGATCAAAGTTCCCCAGCAACGGCGCCAAATTTGATATCACTCAAATTACCATAAGGAGTGAATTACTCTCTCAAATAAGAGGTTCAGTTGTAGTACTTAGGGATTGAATCCACAAGGAACTAAGGAACACAAAAGATATAATCCTTAGTGATTATGCTAGTTTGATTAAGTTTAAAAGTAAATTGCAGTTGTGAGCAATGGTGAGTTGCTCAAGAGAATTGGTTTAGGTTTTAAACAATAAAAGAAAGTAGTTAGATTCAAGGTTGCTTTTCAGAAACTCAGGATTATAATACTATAGATGTCTTAATAAGTTGCTTGCAAGATATTAAAGAACTTCAATTCTTAGATAAGTCCATTAGCAATCGCTATCTAGACTCGTCCATTGATCTGACTGCCGGCAATATCGACCGATAGTTTTGACAGCGATATCGGACTATATGGTTTGCCGTCGATCGATTACTCTATAGGAGTATCGATCGATATAGCTTCAGATCGAATTGAATAAGTGTTCACCAAGATCATAGACCGGCTCTCGCTCGTCCGAGAGGTCCTCAGCTTATGCTAGATGATTTCAGGATGATGATTAACAAGTTAAATCATTCCATCATCATACTCTAGTTAGCTACTCTAGAGTAAGCATTAGGGTTCATCAGGATAATGAATATCACAACTCAACAATCCTCTAGTTAGCTACTTTAGAGTAAGTGATTCATAGCATCAAGGTAATAATAGAAATTTATAAGATTAGAAGATTGAACACTTGGTTCCTTTGAACAACAAATCTCTTTGTGTGTTCTTCTAAATCTAGAACTCTATAACCTTATGATGAAAATGAGAATAAGATGAAAAGAATACTTTTATAGATTAAATAACTAAGAGCATAAAAAGCATTCAATAGCAGAACATGTAGAAAGCATGTAAAGCTCAAAAAGCACAAAAAAAACATGTCTAGCCAAAACACATAGACATAACTATAAATATGAGTTCCATTAGGTTAAAAACTTGTCAGGGGCAATCTTGTAATATTGAGAGAACTTGGGCTTCAAGTTGGCTGAGTCAAACTTTTTCTTCACGCTCGATATCGATCGATGGTACAAGGCGTACATCGATCGATGGAGTATCTCGATTCGTCATCTTCTACGGAAGCGTCGTCGATCGATTACACATGATGTGTATCGATCGATATGTATCTCTGGATATCGACCTTGTTGTCTGATATTCATAGTCATCTTGGGAAAACTCTTCTTTAAGCTCCATAAGGGCACCTAAATCATCACTTTACTCCAAAATTCTCCTGAACCTAAAAACATACGTAATAGACTCCAAAACACACATATATATAGATATATAATATAATATAAAATCATCTAAATACCATGGTTAAAAGTGGGTCAAAACCATGGTAGATCACCAGACATATTGACCCGAAAAGAAAAGAATGACTATGTCATACCAGCTTAGCACCACGAGTTTGATATCCTAGAAGAGACATAAACAAGTTGCTACATATTCTATTAGAGATAGACCAATACGTTCCATAAGATAAGGAACCTCGGAAAGAAAAGAAAAATATGCATAGAATGACAAAACAGATCCAAGGTCATAAGGGAAACCAGACCAGACATTGAGAGCAGGCCGGCCGGCTGAACATCTAAAGTACCAAACCATGTAGCTTGGGACACCAAGCTGCAAGTTAATAAAAGTTCCTTGGTAAGAATGAAATCTCAAATTGATTAGATCATGTCTGGAACAAAATGGAATTACATGAGAGTGTCGACACATAAATGATATAAAGATGCATAAGAAAGTAGCACTTGAGTTTAAAGATATAAGCGAGGATCCGTACCCACGTAAGTATGAGAATGCATTCATAGACTAATTTGAGTCAAAAGAAAAACGTGAGGTTTAAAGTATATATAGAAGACATGGGCGTATTGGCCATATATATGGAGACGCCATCTAATGATATAAACCAGTGGATAAATGGGTCTTGTGAGGGAAAAGAAACCGTGAGATATAATACATTATCACGTGGACTAAGGTGTTCATGTTCCTAAGATTCAAGCATGGCTTGTTACACAAGGATACTCACATAGACCAGGGAACATATTATAAGGAGATAAACTCTTATGTGGTGGATGCTACTACACAAATTCGAAATTGACAAAGGTCTGGTCATAAGAAAGAAATTATGATGATGTAGTAAGCATCATATGAATCACTGGATAAAGAGATTGAGCTCAAAAGATAGTAAAGGTACCAAAAAGATGAAAAAAGAAGTTCTCAAGAACATCATTGTTCCTAACCTGTTTATGGATTGAAACGAAAGCAATTGCAATATATTTTGGCTAAAGAATTCAAGATGAAAGATCTTGGAAAGACAAAATTTTGTTTGGGATTAAAGCTTGAGTATATGAAATATAGAATCCTTGTGCATATACAGAAAAGGTACTCAAGAAGTTTAAAATGGACCAGTCTCACCTATTGACTAGCTCCATGGTCGTGAGAAGCCTAAAACCGGATATAGATCCGTTTGGTCTAAAGAAAGACCATAATGGCCGGAAGAGAGTGACCAAAAGTATGTTGGTTAAAGACCATGATATAACTTGATCAGATACAACATGATCAATGGCAAAAGAAGGACATTGTGTCCATATGGACCAAGGCATGTCCGTAAGCATAAAGAAGCCAAATAGCCTGTATGTACTTGAGTAGAAAATTCAACATATTCAAGGTATTTGTGCTATATCCAAATCATCAAGTCTAAAGGGACTATGAAACATGAGAGGATATGTTAGTGATGATTGGCCGCAAGTTAAAGGTCCATCTAAATGAAACCACGAGTAGTGCTAACATACATGTACTGATCAAGGACCACACATCCGAGATGTGGTGAAGAAGTAACCAAGAAAGAGTTATTTGGGCCTATATTATACTAACCATTCCAAAGATGGTTTAGTTTGTTTTGCTGATGCAGGTTATCTATCAGATAGACTGTGGTAGATCTCAGACCAGATATGTGTATACCTATGGTGGTACAGGAATATCTTGGCGTTCCATGAAGCAGATCATGGCGGCTACTTCATCTAACCATGCAGAGATAGTAGAAATACATAAAGCCAGCTGTGAGAGTATGTGGCTAAGGGCCATGACCAATCATGTCCGTGTTGTTTGCGGAATGACCAAAGGAAGAAACCCACAACTCGTTATGTATGAAGACAATGCAGCCTGCATATCACAGCTCAAAGAAGTCTACATCAAAGGAGGCGAGGTTCAAGTGTTACAAGTTCGTTCAAGTGAGAATTCAGCTGATCTCTTCACCAAGTCCTTGCCTACCTCGACGTTCAGAAAGTTCATACATCAGATTGGAATGCGCCGACTAAAGACCTTTAGTGATGCATTCATTAGAGGGAGTTCATGTGTTGTACTATTTTGTCATGTCCTTGGTTTCCCTTTTTACCACATTGGGTTTTGGGTTTTCCATGAGAGGTTTTAATGAGGCAACATCAAAAGCATGAATGGACCCTGAGCGGATATATCAACCAAGGGGGAGTGTTAAAAACCATTTTGGTGGTTGGGCCATATCCGGAACCGAGCTGGGCTCGTCCATAGACCAGAGGCCCAATGGCGGCTCCTTATCCTTATCTATAGCCGGCCATGCACATCTTATCCTTATCTCCTCTTGGTTATTATCCTTGTTGTTGTAGTTATCATAATCCATATAAGATTAGGATTATTTCTTGTTATCCTTATCCATCTAGCTAGGATTAGGATTATCTAATTGCTTATGACGGTTTAACCTCTTATATATATATATATATATATATATATATATATATATATATATATATATATGGCACGACCATGATGATTAATAATACAAGTTACAATGTTTGTTTCTATATATACATTTATAGTCTAATAGTATGCTTCAACATAGTCTGATTCAATGTTTTTTCATTTAACCACCTTGGAAAAAAATATGCATTTTTACACTTTTAGAAAAAAATTATGCTAAAAGCATATTAAAATAATAAAATATATCTAACATGATATATTAAATATTTAAACATAGTAAATTGTTTTCCGCATTTAATGTAAATCAATTGGCAATAACTAGTATATTCCATTTTTGAACAACTTTAACTGTCTCTAACAAAAACTATGATAGATTTATACACTCTTTGAAAATCTAACAAAATTAAAAATTGAAATTATAAATTACTAAAATCTAAAAGAATATACTTAGTGTTACGATGACAAAAAAAAAACCTTAGTGGTACATATATTCAACAATCTATTATCTGATTCGCAATCTCCTTTCACCAAAAATGGGGTTTAATTTTGGGTTAACAAAATAACAAAAGAATTAAATATTAAAGGAGATTTAAAAATTTTGTTTATAAAAAAATATGGATCAAAAAAGCTATTTTATATATACGGTAAAATCTTTGTTTCTATATATACCAAATAAGTTATTTCCTTCAATGGGATTGTTTGCTATGAAAAACTTCCTTTAATGTATATATGGGTCAAAATTTTCAAAATTAGATAATATTATGAAATAAAATAAATAAATTATACTAAAATAATTTTTATCTGAAATATTTTCAAACTAAATGTAAATCTTTTTGAAATGATGCACTTACAAAATTATAATCTTACATAAATCATAATTATATTTTAAATTAATATTTAAAAACTTAAAATAAAGTCAACTTTTGAAACCAACCTACGATTTATGAGTAGACATTTTTACAATTATTTTTTTCCTTGGTTATTTCCTCGAATATACAAAATATTTATCAAGTAGAAATGGATTGAGAAAATTTATTTTTTATTTCTGTTTTAAATTAACAACCGAATTAATAATTTTATCAACAAAATTAATCCCGCGTTTTGAAAGCATGAGTCAAAAGTTAGTATGTATATTATTAATACAAGTATTTTGCCCATCTAAAAATATATACAAATCATGTTCATTTTTTATTTTAAATATGCTTTCAATATAGTAAAGAATATATTTTGATAATAAACTCCAGTTTTTTTGTATATTTATAATTTTTAAGAAATTAAAATTTTCAGCTGGAGTCCTATTCAATTTTCATATCTGCATGTTAAAATAGTGTATAAGTTTTGGCATATAAATTCTGGTTTGGTAAAATAAATCTATTAAAAAGGTGAAAGAGTAGTAAGAAAGAAAAGTAAAACCAAGCCACTCTTGAAAATTTCACCATAAACGTTGTCAAGCTGAAATAACAAGCTCCTGTCCTACTATATTTGGCTCTAATCCCATACAAGATCTATCTAGTTCATTCAGTTTCTGGATCCTTATTTATTGTTAACTAGTTTTTTTTTATTTTGAGAAATTGTTAAATGGTTATTTGATCATCTTTTTCAAAAGATAAATTCATTGCTCCTATTAATAATTCTAACAAATAATTGATTGTTAACATTTACACTTCCACAATAATACTACTAAATTACTATTAAAATATCTCATACATTTTTTTATTATTATAAAACATTAAGTGATAAAAAACTGTTTTTTCCTATAAAATTTAAGAGTATCTATTATACATGTTCTACCTGATAATAATAAAACAGTTTTAAATCTAACCTTTGAAAGAAAAAGAACTCCAGTTAATTAGTTTTTGGGTTCTATAACAGAGCCTCCTAAACATTCTTCTTATGTTTTGGAACATTAATACACTAGGATAAGACATGCTCCTTACGTAGGATAAATTTATATAGAAATTATTAAAAAGTATTATATGAAAAAATAAATCTATATTCTTGGTTGAATTAATATTTTGATCTTTAAACAATTTTTGTTAAAAAAATTTTAATTACATAATTTGTTTACTTATGAGCTGATCTCATTTTTAAAAATGTTTAAGGTCAAAATATCACTTACCGCAAAGAACGTAACATTTAAAACAAAAAATCTCGGGTATATTTGGTTACAGTGAAATTATGTCACCTCGGTTTTATATCATGATTTAGAAATTTAAAAATTAATTATGGTTATGATAAATTTACGTTCACTTGCCAATCCTATCTATTTTCAATATTTTTTGTGTGTGTCTTTTTCATTTTGGTTATTACTCGATATAAATATTGATTTTGAAGTTTATTCTCATTTCGTTTATTTGTTTTGGCCTAAAATTTAGATAATGCTTAAGATTTAAAATAATTAAAGAGCTACATATTTAAGGTTAAGATCTGCACTTTTTGCAGAATAAGAATTTTATAGTTATTATTTATTTTATGTTTTTTCTGTATATTATGAAATAATAAAATAATAAATATATATATTAAATAACTAAGAAATCAGTTACTGTTAGAGAAAAGGTCTAGAATAGACCTAAAAAGTGTTTGTCACAAATATAGACCTTAACAACTAAAATGACTAATTTAGCACTTAAATGTTTTGTTAAATATACATTTTTACTCATTGGGTTAACTAATCCTAGAATTTTTTGTTTAGAGTTGAGGAGTGGGGTTTTGGGGATAGAGTTTCAAATTTTAAAAAATAAGAAATAAAAACTTAAAATTTTCAAAATAAAAAGTGCTATTTTGGGCATTTTAATTTTTGAGATCTATTTTTGTGAAAAAACTTAAAAGAGGGCTATTTAAGAGAATTTCCCTTACTGTTATGTTATAAATTTGCGTGTGCATATAAATCTAACAATCACTCTTGTTTATTCACAGTTAGCGTAAATAAATCAAAACAATCAATCTTATCTATCGTATATGATATATAATTAAATTTAAATGATATTAACATAGATATATAGAAAACTTTTAATATGTATATTTATTAAATGAAATACACTTTAGCCAAGTGGTATAAGGTGGATGATTCAGTCCACAAGTGTGTGGGTTCAAACCGTATTTCATCAAAAAAAAATGTATATTTATTAAATGAGGTTTCTACTCATATGATTTTATGATTTTTTTCATATTAGTATAAAAAAAAATTTTATATCAACGATTTTTTTTTTTTAAAATGTGAGTTGTTTAGTAGTTTCAATAATTTATAATCATTTTACAAAAAAAAACAATGACAGATTTTAAAATTAAAATATTAACTTTTTAATATATGATCAATGCAAATATCTAGTCACTGACTTTTTTAAATGTGAGTTGTTTAGTGGTTTCAATAATTTATAATCATTTTACAAAACAAAATGACAGATTTTAAAATTAAAAATATTAACTTTCCAATATATGATCAATGCAAATATCAAGTCATTAGTATGTATTTTCATTTGATCTATAGTTTAATTTAAGAGTATTTGCACTCCATACACACACTAAACTTCATAATTCACTATATACCCTATTTCTTCCTTTATCTCTCCTCCCCGCACATTATTATTTTCCCCACCAAAAATGGCAAATCCCTAATTTCCCATTTTCTTATGGATTTCTACCCAATTCACTCAATTTAAACGATATGAAATATATATATATATATATATATATATATATATGTTAACATAAACCTATTAAAATAAAATCATTTCTTCATATTCTCTTATAATAATTGTATCTTAATATAGAAAAAAAAATTAAACCTTGATCATAAAAGCTTACATGAGACTTTTAGCAGTTTTAATAATTTATTCTCGTTTTGAATAATTTGAAATATAACATACACAAAAAGTTTAGATTTTTATTAAAGATTAATGTAATTATGTAATTTATTTTAATAATAAATAAATAAACAAAATGATAAAAAGTATACAAATTGTATGGACCATTACAGACGAATGAAACCTTAAAAGCTCAATAAAGTACATAATATTTTCGGGATAAATAATACTTACAAAGAAAATCCTTCCAGACACTAGTGCATATTTTTTTCCCAGACCCTAGGGCATTATTATTTTAGATATACCTAAATTTATAAATAAAATGACATAATTGAGAAGTGAGCTGATAAAATTATTTTAAAATCTCTACAAAATGAGACTTTGCCTCTGCAAAGCCATCGTATTGGTGAGTCTCAATTTGGGAGTTTGTCCTAAAGTGAAAGGCTAATATGAAATTTCTCAAATGACAGAATCTGCATAAGTTTCTCAATTTTTTACAAAAGTTTGTAACTAAATATTAATATAGCTGGTACAAGATTTGGGTGAGAAATTCACCCATACCGATACCCCGAGAAGAGAAGAGATCCATACCGAATAGTACTGAAGAGATCAGTTTTTTTTTTGGTACTGAAGAGATCAGTGTTTTAAGATGTTTTATATATATCGCATGAATTCAGTCTTTTGCTTATTTTTGTTACAACATTGTCCCTAACCAAAATGCCAATAAACTGCATGCACAGAATGATTTCTATATACTCTTTCTATTTCAAAATGATGCATTGTTTTAGAATTTTTATATGGTAGTAAAATATATTAAATTTTAATTATAAATACAGTAATTTTTCATGATTCTTCATTTTCAATAATTCTAAGCCACTAATAATTTGATAATATTTTTGAAGTTTAATTAATCATTTTCAATTGATAAAATATACTGAAAATATAAAATATTTTTTTGCAATATTTTTTTATATTATGTCGTTACATAATAAGTGTCGTTTTTGGTTTTCAATGCAAAATTTATTAATTATATTATGTACTCTATTTTTTATTGGTTAAAATGTTGTTAGGTGTATTCTAATTGTGTTTTTATATAGAAAAGAAGCAAAATTATTAATCCGTGTGCATAAGTCTAAAATGACACTTATAATGAAATAGAGAGAGTATTGAATTATTGCAAATCGAACATATGAAAATAGAATAGCCTTTCAAAATTAGGAAGATGGCTAGCTAGACAATTCTTTTGTTGAACTTACGTACACACATGATTCTTTTTCTGATAAGTATGTACACATTTCTCTAGCCTATCTTTATACTCTTTGTTCTAAAAATTGGATGCCCGATTTTAGTCCGTCTAGACCGTTAGATGACCACCTAATCTTTTTTTTAATAAATTTTTAATCTATTTATGTGATCTAGAATTTGATAAATGTAATTTATATTCATAATATTGATAAAAGTTATACCATATTAAGTTTACATATTTTATTTGTGTATTTTATACGGTTCTAAACATGAAAATATATTAATGTTTTACACAATTAAAGATTAACTTATTTTATAACATGTCAAATAAACTAAAAATTTTGTCCTACATAATCTCCACTTAATCCTTATTTTTTTCTCTAAACGCTATATCTAACTCTGCTTTCCGATTAGCGTCTAACACGTTCCCAAACATGGGCTATACTATATGTTGCGAGCAATGCTTTAAATGAAAAGTACAAAGAGATGGAGCAAGAAATATGGGTTAAAAGAAAGAGGTTGTAAGCTAAAATTGCAAGAAACTATATGCATTTTCCTCCCATCTATTTTACAAATCTTAAATATCCTTGTTATATTATTAACTAGGGTAATCCCGCCCTACGGACAGAAAAATAAAGAAATAGTAGTAAAAATTTATCTTAAATGTTTGATTCACTTTTTTTTGGCAACAAATCGCTTCATAATTCTAAAACGTAATCAGTACAAAGAAACGAAAGAGTTGTAGAGAGCGGCTTTTGCAAGAGAATCAGCAACAATATTGTTCTCTCGGTCGGCAAAAGAAACAAAGAAGGAAACAAAAGTAGAAGATCGATGGAAACTCGATATCCATGAGAACCTCGAAAAGCTCTACCGGATGTGTCTTCGAGTTGATAGCTCTAGCGAGCTCCACGGAGTCGGTTTGAAACCAGAGGTTTGATTAACTTTTAACTAAAAAGTAGCTTTGCCATTTATATTTTTTTACAACAATTTTATTATTTATTTACTATTTGTTTTAGAAAGCATACTTGTCTAACTATAATAAAATTTTAAACAATGTAAATTTTTAATGTGTATTTTAATTTAACTATACCAATAAGTGACAGTGATTTTTAAAAAAAATAATTACATTAAATTGAAATATGTAGAGTGAACTTATTTACTCGTAATTATATATTTGTTTCATGAACTAAACTGCTTTTTCTTTACACCATCATAAAAAAAAACTAATTATTTACATGATGTTATCTATTAAACTAAAATATTTTAATACAGATAAATAGATAATATGAAACTATTATTACTTTTTAGACATATACATGTTAGTTAAAATATTATATGTATTATATATATATATGAAAATCAAGTTAACCATGTTATCAAAATAGTTGATTAGATTTTTTGAAATACATTTTACTAACTTATAAAATATAGTCTTTACAATAATTTTACTGTACATAATAAATTATGATATATTGATTATACTTTTAACAAAAATCTTTTGTTTATTATACAATACTTTTATTACGTTTGTTAGAATTTTTTTTTTATTTACAAATTATTCTTATTTGAAAATTATAAATAAGAATTTATTGATTATTTGTAAATATTTCTAATGTAAAATATTCGAAATATTCAATAAGCAAAATTAAATTTAGAATATGAAATAATAATAGAATAGTATGATGTATCATTATATAAATATGTTTTGGATGTTGAGTTATTAAATTTTCAAATTTTTATTATATACACACAAATTTACTTAATCCGATTTTCTATAATATGTAACTTGTGATATAAAAACTTTTAATAAAATTTCAATTGAATTTAAAGGGTTTCAATAGGTTACAACTTAAGAACATTATTGTTTCAATTTGGTTAGATCGAATTTGAGTTTGTTGGTGTAGTAAAAGAGATTTTGACTAATTGATAAGTCCAACTGACTATAGTTTGAGTCCACAATGATACTTACTCTGTAAACAAAGTCAACAACCACATCCAACTTTACAACAACTTCTCGATTGTTTCTTCTTTTCTTCACATCTCAGATGATCAAAGAAGCTCAAGCCATCACAAAGATGATGCACATGACCTTCTATTGGTAAATCAAAGCTACAATTCTTTTCGATTTCTGAAAAAACTGATTCATGCCTCGGTTACATCTTCACCTTACTTTATTGCTTCGTCTTCGCCGCTTTCAACCAGTACCTTAAGAGCCGTCGTCTCCAGTTCAGATCCATTTATCTATCCGTCATCCTCCTCCACCTCGCATCGGCGCTTCCACTCTTCTTCTCGCCAATTTGGGTACCATATCCTCTGTGAAAGCTGCGTCAGTGGTGCTTTTCGGCGTGAACACGATGATCGGTTACTTGCTGATGCTCGTGGCTATGTCCTTAAATAGAGGCATTTTTATGGTGGAGAACACATAATGTTTCCGGGTAAAAGGGATCAGGGTTGCTCGTTATTGAGCTGGGTTCTTCGACCAAAGACTAAAGTACACACATAGAAAAACCCATGAAAGTAGTTGATTATTTAATGAAACCCAGAGTATAGAAAGATAGGACACGTGTCACTTTGAGAATGTATGAATTAGTGACATGGCATCACAAGAGGGATGAAAATCCTTCTTTATATAATAAGATTTTGTTTAATTTCTTTTTAATTCATAAAATGACTAAATGACATAAATATCCTTAACCCTAATAATATAACAAGTGTCGATGTCTTTTTGTTTTTTCAGATTCTTCTTTCTCTCTTCTTCCGTTTTATTTTTCTTCTCTACAAAATCGCCGTTCTTCTCTATTTTCTGAGTTTTTCTTTCTTTATTTCTCTGAGACAAATCACCGCAGTTCAACCTAAAACAATGGTGGAAAGACAATGTAATCTAAGATGGAGACTTTTCTTGAGATTGTTATACCTAAATTTAGATCTAGAATTTTGTATGTATGTTCTGGATTTTTTTGAGTTAGGGTTCTTAAGGTGATGACAAAACAGAAATATGTTTATGAAGAAATCTGGATTTTTTTTGATTTAGGGTTCTTGTTTTTATTCGATTTTAAATTTCTTGGATTTAAGTCTGTATCTTATTTTATTGAAGTCGTGGATCTATAATTTTTGTATTTGGTTGTGTTTCTTTGATTTTATTTGTAGATCTAGACTGAATCCAGTAAAACTTGTATAATTTGGTAGAACTGCATCAATACAACTAAGTATAACTTATTTAGTAGAATCCAATAAACTCAGTACAACTACGTAAGTATTACTAGTAGAACTAGTATCACAACTAAATAAGTATTACTAGTACAATTCAGTGTAACTACATAAGTATTACTAGCATGATTCAGTATAACAACATAAGTATAACTATTAGAACTCAGTATAACTAATATAATTCGGTATAACTAATAAGACCAGTATAACTAGTTTGACCTGTATAACATAGTTGGACTAATTGCACATCAAAGAAAAAAAACTGAAAATTTAAAATTTTGGAATTAAAAAATTGAAATTTTGAAAAAAATCGATTTAATAAAAATTAAATTAATTAATTTTATAAATAAATAAAGGTAAAATTGGATTTTCAAATTTTCGGTAAATGATGAAGGACACTAAGATTAGTGAAAAGATTAATGAAAGATATAGATGATTTTCGTTTGTCTTTAGGGATATACTATAAGATAATGGTTCTAGAATTGGGCTCATTTTTTTTTTGCAGTCTCACTAAATGCTCACATTAGTAAATACACCACCGTGCATTCTCTACAATGCCCTAATTTGCCATCACATGCAATATCCCCACTTTTCATTTTTATTATCGTTTATCTTTATCTTTGTTTATTATCATCAGTTGGTCAGTTCCACAAATTTGAATATTTTTAGTATTTAAGTAACTCATGTGACTTCTTATCCATCTTTTAAATACTCATATTGTGGGAATGAAGGGAGAAACTTTGAACAGTATTTTTACTTGCTAGCTAGAAATTTTGTTTTATTGCAAAAGTTCTAAGAAAAATTTAAAAGACTGCTTCAGTTTCTTTGGGTGGCGCTGAACTTCTGGTAAACCATACAAAATAAATCATAAGAATAAATATTCACAAACCACTAAAATAAATGTGAATATTATATCTTGTGACTTTTAACATCTTAAAATTATATTTCCTCCGTTCATTTTAAGCGTCTTTGTAGAAAGTTTTTTTTGTTATAAATATTTTATTTTAATTATTATTAATACCTTTTAAAATTTTTGCATACAAATTAAAAAATGATAAATTTTATGTTTTACTCATAGTTAATACATTAATTGTTTGACTTTATTAATAAGCTAAAAGTAAGGGTAAGAAACTGGAAAAAACATTTAATATTTGCTTTAATATGTAAAATAAAAATTATAATGAAACAAATTTTAAAAGTTAAAATAAAATTTAATATGAAACAGAGGGAGTAAGTCTTGCTTTATAATTCTTAAATAGTTTATGCCATTAATTTATGTCTTTTACTCTTATATTCATTACAACAAAATAAAATCAATAGAATTCTACTAATAGTTAAGTAAGGATAAAACTAAACATTTAACTAGTACGGATACAATATATTTGTTAAATACACGATGGTATTGTATATATCTTCTAACTAGGTGTTTTGCCCGCACATGCGGACATAATTTTCAAACAATTTATTATTATTTTATATTTTATTAATTCAAACCAATATAATAAGTTATGATTTATGTTTTAAATTAATTATAAATGACAACACTCACAGAACAAAATATTTTTAAAAATATATTTTTACAAATGTGTTGCTTTAATTGATTTTAATTATATTTTTTCTATCTTAATTTTTATTTCTATAATAAAAAATATATTTTCAACATAACAATATAATACATAAGAAGTATCTTATTTTCTCAAAATATAATTTTTAATAGAAATTCGTTTTTATTTTATAATAAATTTTATATGAAATTATTAAAAATAGGAAAAATAATCAAAATTATCTAAATCATGGAGAAATTACAAATAATATAATTCACTTAAATTTTCTAATATAAAATATATGTTCAAGATAACAATCTAATACATAAGAATTATCTTATTTTAAAAAAATCTAGTATTATTAGTATACATTCGTTTTATTATTTAATAAATTATATATGAAATTATTAAAATATGATAAATAAGCAAAATATAAGACCATGAAAAAGTTGATAAATCAGCATTGCTTTCTTTATATTTAACTATTAATATTTTAACTTAATTTTTAATTTCTATGATAAAAAATATATTTTAAAGATAACAATATAATTAATACATAAGAATTATCTTATTTTCTAAAAGTATAATATTATTAATAGAAATTCGTTGTATTATATGATAAATTATTCATAAAATTACTAAAAATATAACAAATAAGCAAAACTACAAAATCATGGAAAAGTTACAAATCAATCAGTAAATTCACTTGAATTTTATAATAGAAAATAAAATATAACAAAGAAGCAAAATTACAAAAATCATGGAGAAGTTATAAATCAATCAGTAAATTCACTTGAATTTTATAATAGAAAATGTATTTTTAAGATAAAAAATTAATACAAAATAATTAAAATATTTTCTAAAATATAATATTATTAATATAAATTTGTGTTTATTAAATAATAAATTAATTGTATATGAAATTATTTAAATAAGGTAAATAAACAAATTTGCCTAAAATCAAAGAGAAGTTGACAATTAAGCAAATTATATAGAAAAATATATTTTTAAGATAAAAATTTAATACAAAATAATTAACATAATTCTAAAATATAATATTATTAATAGAAATTTGTTTTTATTAAATAATAAATTGTATATGAAATTATTTAAATAAGGTAAACAAATTTAGCTAAAATTGAGGAGAAGTTGACAACTAAGCAAATTTACTTCTTATATAATAATATAGATGTTTAACAAAACTCCCTTATAATTAGGAAATATATTTGTGTAGAAGACCGACTCGGTTTCTGTATACGGTTATAAGTTATTGGATTAGTAAATAGTTAACCTTATAAGAGCATCTCCAACCCCACTCCAAAACCCACTCCAAACTCTATTTTGCAGTAAAATCTTCTCCAACCCTACTCCAAAACTCACTCCAAAATGGAGTAACAAACATGATTACTCCAAATATGGAGTAAACCAACTCATTACTCCAAAATGGAGTTGAACTTTTTTATTTATCAAATACTCCTCCACATTTATATATGTTTCATTTTTAATAAAATATTATTATAAATAAGTACTATATATATTATAAAATTTACTGTTATATTTCTTAATTATATAAATAGCCTCATTTTTAATAAAATATTATTATAGATAAGTATATTAATATTATTTTACTATATATTAGAAAATTTACTGTTAATATTTCTTAATTATATAAA